TGTTGTTATTGTTAGGTGCCATTGAGTCGGTACTGACTCATAGTCACCCTATGCACAGCAGAACAAAACACTGCCTGGTTCTATGCCAACCACACAATACTTGTTACGTTTGAGTCCATTGCTGCTGCCACTGTGCCGATCCATCTTGATTCCTCTTTTTCTCCGACCTTCCACTTTACCAAGCAGGATGTCCTTCTGCAGTCTGGCTTATTCTGGCTTCTAAGAAGCAGGTTGTACTTTTCCCAACACATATTAGTTTTAGTTGGTTCTTTTGGCAGCCCATGGCACTTTCAATATTCTCCTTCAACACCATAACTCAAATGTATCAATTCTTCTACGGTCTTCCCTATTCACTGGCCAACTTTCGCATTCATATGAGGTTACTGAAAATACCATGGCTTGGACCAGGTGCACTTTAGTCCTCAAGCTGACATCTTTGCTCTTCAACACTTGAAAGGTGTCTTGTGCAGCAGATTTGCCCAGTGCTATACATTGTCTGATTTCTTCACTTTGGCTTCCCCGAGAATTGATGATCGATTCAAGCAAAATGAAGTCTTTGATAACTTCAGTCTTTTCTCCATCTTGTAACTTACAGCTTGTGGGACTTACTTTCCCGGGAGAAGACAACAGAACTGAGGGAAGGGTACAGCAGTGACTTGTCATGTATTTTTCCACACTGTCTGTGTCCTGCCACGTAGCTACATAAATACATTAAAGAATGGAATTTTCCAGTAGGATTAGATTGTAGGTGTAGTAAGTAGTCTCAGCGATTGTCTCCAAGGATCCCTGACTCCTAGTACTTGCACCCCACCGAATCCCCTCCCACTGTGGGAACTATGTCTAGTGACTTGTTTCTAACCAATTGAATATGACAGAAGTGATGGGATGCCATTTCCAAGGCTGGATTTCAAAAATCTAGTTGGGTTTTTTGTCTTCTCTTTTCACATCTCCTCTCTTCCTTTCCCTCTCCTTGTCTTCTATCATCAGTTTCCACATCACGAGGACACTCAAGCAACGTATGAAACCCAAACCAAGCCCACTGACAGTGACTTGATTCTGACTCTTAGTGACCTTGCATGAGAGTTGAACTGCTCCTTAGCGTTTCTTAAGGGGAGCAGTCTCATCTTTCTCCCCCAGAGGGGCTGATGAATTTGAGTCGCTGACCTTATGGGGGAGAAAGATGAGACTGCTCCCCTTAAGAGCACAAGAGCTGCTTCTAGTAACCTATAAAGAGGTCCGTAAAGGAAGAATGGAGGTCTCCTCTCTGCAGTCCCCTAAGTGATCTTGGAAGTGGATTCTCTAACCCCAACTAAGCTTCACTTGAGTGCACTTCATAAGAGACCCTGAGCTTGAGGCACCAGCTAAGCCCTGCCCAGATTCCTGACCCCCAGAAACTGTGAGATAATGAATGTTGTTGTTGGTGGGGTAATCTGTTATGCAGTAATAGATAACTAATACAGAAGGTCTTGTAATGTATAACCAATGGGAATTTCTAAACTGCAATCTGCCCTCATTTCTTTTTTTTTTCTGAAATGTAGAAAATCACAAGACTGAAAGTCTCTCACTTTTTCGTTTCTTTTGGAATAAACAACTATAATTACAACTTAAACAGGAAATTGTGGCGATCAATCATAGGGATTAACACTAATTAGAATTAAAGGACATTGCTGTGAAAGTTAGCCTTCTCATTATAATAAACACTGTTCTCTGATACTGTGTTTCTCATAAACATTACGTGTGTGTGTGTACGTGTATATGTGAACAGCAGTGTTTAGTTTAGTACTTGGCCAGGCTTTAACTTTTTATTGTGACTTGAGTGAAGGTTTACGTAGCAGATCATCAGTTTTGCGTCCAACAAATGGTACACTTTGCTTCAACCCAATGATTTCAATCCCCTCCACGCAACACCAGTTTTCCCGCTTGCTCCCTGTGCTTCCTGTTTCTAGGTCTCCTTCTTTCCCCACCTTTCTGACTTTTGTCCCTCAGTAAATGCTACCCTTTTGATCACAAATGGGTGACCATTCTATGGTGTGCATACCTCACTAGTGTTGTCGTCCCTTCTCTACACCTCTTACTTGGCTAAAAATCAAGCCACACGGGTGAGTTCAGTTCCAGACCTGAAGGGTGACCAAGGGCCAGAGTCTCAGGATTAGGTTTCGCTTTTGAGGTGGGATGGAGAGATGTGTGTGTGTGCAGGGGGTACTTCTTTCTATGCATCTCCATGAGCTATGGATTAAAGTAAAGCCAAGGAGTCTTTGCTTTGAACATTTTCATATGTATTTGTTGTTGTTGTTGTTATGTGCCACGGAGTCGGTTCTGATTCATAGAGACCCTGTACAGGGTTTCCAAAGCTGTAAATCTTCATGGGAGTAGAAAGCCTCATCTTTCTCCCTCAGAGCAGCTGGCAGTTTCGAACTGGTGACCTTGAGGTTCGCAGCCTGATTCGTAACCACTACGCTACCAGAGCTCCTTTGAAGAAACCTAATTTACTATTTTCAGATTATAAGGATGAAAATGTAAATGTTACTTTGAGTCTCCTTTTATGAGTGACAAATCTTGTGGCTCTAGTTTTTAAAGATTTGTCAAACAACTATCTGAAATCGTTTCTGACATTTTGAAGAAAAGCAAAATATGCTCTTTTCTTTTGATGACAATAACGCATTTCTTTTTATTATTGCAAATCTGATTAATATTGTGTGAAAGATTGTTATATATTGTATCATCGTAAAAATTAGAGGAACATTACCAAGACCAAGCAGGAAAACAGTTTTTGGTTTTTGAGTAGCATTTGAAAAGGCAAAAACATTAGCCAATTCTAAGTACCATTTTTCTCTTAGGGCATTTTTATCTTCCTATCTTTACAGTGTTCTCTAGACTTATGGACTCCAAGATACTGGTCAGTCAACTGAGTGAGCACCTACTGAACACCTTCACCAAGTATCCTGCAAGCTAAAAGGCAAAACAAACGAAAAATAAATAGGAGCCACCGTCTTCCTGCTCAACAAGCATACAACAGGACTTAGAAGGTCAAACATATATGTGAAATGCTTGAAGTTCATGTTCAATACTTTTAAAGGTATCAGAGCCCTTGTAAATCCCCTCCCTTTGTGAACAATATATGGTGGGACATCACTCCTGAGATTGTGTTTCTGACTTGGACTCTATGTGTCTTGCTAATGATTGTATCTTTAGCACCTAACATAGTGCGTGGTACAAAATGGCGGTGGCTGTGTGCTGTCGAGTCAGTTCTGACTCATAGTGACCCTGTCTAGGACTTCTGAGGCTGTAAATCTTTTCGGGAGCAGAAAGCCTCATCTTTCTCCCACAGAACAGCTGGTAGTTTCGAACTGCTGACCTTGCGCTTAGCAGTTCAACTCGTAACCCACTCTGCTACCAGAGACATTCATTCCACAAACAGTCGTTGAATGAATACGCAATTCTGGTAGTTAGTACTTGGCCAGGGATTGTTACCTGGTAGTCTGAAAAAAAGAGACAGAAGATTATTAAATGAACTGCCCTATTTCTTCAACTACCACGACTGAAATTCTATTGTGTACTCAGCTATGGAAGCATTTTGCTTCCATTACCAGGAACAAACATTGCGTTCGCATTGCCTGCTTCTTCAGAGGTATTTGCCTCAGGTTTCTAATTTTATAAATGGACACAAGAATACTTCTCTGACCGGGCTGTTCTCAGAATGGCACGAGAGAGTTTTACTATCCAAAATGTGATCTAGATCTTCCTCGAGCTGGCTCCTTAGTCACATTGAAGACTCAATTCAAATGACAAGTCCTCAAAGGTTTTGTTCCCCAGAATTACCTAAAGTAGGTCTCTGCCTGGTCTCGTCTCCAATTTCTCTCATACCACCTTGTTTTAATTCCTTTGTATCATATGTCACTCTCTGAGTTTGTCTTTGATGACTTATTTGTTTGCAAGCTGTCTGACCTCAGTTTCTCAGAGCCTGTTTCTAGTCACTGCCATGTCCTTAAGGTCTGGCATGGAGTAGCACTCAATGAATATTTGTTGAATCACTTTACGTGTCACTCCAAGATCTTTGAGAAAGCTAGTGGACAACCAAATTTTGGTGGCAATCTTCTGAACACATGAGCTGTGGTGGGAATTGGGGGGTGATGTTTCTTTCAAAGTACTCTTTCAGTCTGCGAGTGAAGCAAAGACCTGGCCAGGCCTTGGCCTCAAGCTGATCATCTCTTTAGTGGAATGTGACTGAGCAAATCTGAGAAAACCTTATGTTTGTTATGTTTAGTGTGGTCGAGTCAGTTCTGACCCATAGTGACCCTATATAGGGTTTCTGAGGAGCAGCTGGTGAGCTTGAACCACCGACCTTGAGGTTCAAACCAATTTTGTAGTCCAGTGCCATGCCCGGACTTCCTTGGTGGTGTGCCATGGAGTCGGTTTTAGCTCATAGTGACCCTGCATAGGGTTTCCGAGGCTGTGAATCTTTACGGGAGCAGAAACCCTCGTCTTATTCCCACAGAGCGTCTGGTAGTTTCGAACTGCTGACTTGGAGGTTAGCAGCCCGACTTGTAACCACTATGCTACCAGAGCTCCTTAGGACTCCCTTAGCAGTTTATAAATCACTCATGTAACTTACATTGTCTTAGATCAAAGTAAGAAAGCATGTAACTCAAGACTAAACTGAGTAGTACAGATGATAATTGAATTGGGGATGCAGAGGGAGAAATTCCAATGGCCAAGACTTCCTAGAGTGAATAGAGCGTGCGTTCTTGTTTGTGAAGCACTTCAAATAGTGTGGGGCCGATAGAAAAAGCTATACACATGTTTATGAAATAACACATCCCAAGTGATCTTTTCATGCTGTAATTTTATTTTATTTTTTATAAAATGATATCAAAAAGATAAAAAGCTTTAGTCATGACTTCACTGAAAAGTCCTCATAAAAGGGCACATTTCATCTACCATTAGAAAATTTTACAATCATTCTAGAAATGGTATTCCTTAGGGAACTTCCAACTTGACAATTATAAAGAGCTAATCAGATCATCTGATCGAAGACACCAATCTTCTGAATTATCAACGAAGTATAGTGGCTGCTTAGGACAGACCCGAACCTCTGCTGGACGATGGGTCCCGCTTCTCTTGACTGAAGACGCAAGGTGGACAGTCACAGCTGGCCCTTTGGTTGGACTGTGACAATGCAAACACTTGGCAGGATGGCTCATCATCCTGGGCCGTGGCCCCACCGCCGCTGGCTACATTCACAGTGTAGGATGGAGTGAGCCATGGGGATCGCTGGGGAGCCACACAGGACACTGGGATCGTGTGCGTGGGTGTCGTGCCCTTGGAAGTATAATGCAACTCGGTGCTGTAGAGAATCATGTCCTGAGAGACCGGTTTAGCCCTGATACCACATTCAGTTACGCGGTAGGTGAAGTGGTAGGCATGTGGCTGAACGTGATTGGCTGGACAACCGTGGCCCAAATATAACTTGCTGAAGTGCACATACACGTCACTGTTTAACATGAAGGGGTGTACAGTGACCATGAACCAGTCTGTGGAGCACAGAACCGTTATTGGATTTTGTCCAGAGCAGGACGGAATCACAGACATGAGGAGGAACATCCCTCCAACCAATGCGGAGACTTTCATCCTGGCAGAGTAGACTGGCGTCCACAGGAAGCTGGTCAGTGAGGAATTCTAGAGCACATAAAAACACAAGAAACAAACCATCTTATTTCTCATGGAACATTCAAGCATGCTAATTTGTTAAGCAAAAGCTTATTTCTAAAGCATTAAAAAGAGGAAAACATTCTTGGCTTGAAAGAAAACTGAAACAATGTAATTGCTACAACTCATTGTTTAACAATCATTATAATGGCCTTATTTATTTATTTAAATATTTAAAAATGGTGACATTTTAAGTCTCCCTGGTGGCTGACAAGGTCAGCAGTTGAATTCACCAGCCACTCTGAGAAAGATGAGGCTCTCTGTACACCTCAAAGGCAGCAGGTGTGGTGAGAATATGCTTACCAAATCATTTTCCAGCTTAACATTTTCTACATGGTCTATGCGGTGACATTAATCACATGCTTCAAGTTGTTCAGCCATTCTCATGATCCTTTCCCCATCACTCCACCACCATTGATATAAACTCTATGGGCCCTAGGCAAAAACTCCCCCTTTGCCTTCCTCCCATTCCTGGTAATCACTAATCATCTTTGGTTTCTATGTATCTGCCTGTTTCATAGGTGTGAAATCATACAGTATTTGTCCTTTTGTGACTAAACTTCTTTCACTCAGCTTGATGTTTTCAAGGGTCATCTTTTCTCTTTGTGGCCAAGTAATATTCCTCTGTACGTATATACTTTGTTTATCCTTTCATACAATGACTTCTTGGATGGACTTAAACACATTGTACTGCTGTGAAGTGCACACCCCTCCCATGTTAAATGAAAGTCTACACTAAACAGGAGTGGCAGACCTTTGAGGACAGAGCGAACAAAACCATTTTTGTGGCAAACATTATCTAATTCAAACAGGCGTCCTCACATATGTCCTACTGATCGATACCTCCTGAAGAGTGGCAGACAGGACCACTGCATAAATTAATTCATTCTTTGGCTAATATTTACTATGATGGCATAGTGGATTACAGACTTGTCTGCTAACCACAAGACCAGCTGTTCGAATCTACCAGTTTACTCCACAGGAGAAACATGAGGTTTTCTGCTCCCATTAAAAACTTAGAGCCTCAGAAACCCTATACAGGAAGGCAATGAGTGGGAGCCGACGCTATGGTATACTACCGTCACCAAGGTGCTCTGGAGTCCTGGTGGCAAATGGTTAATTGCTCATCAGTTTGAACCCACTAGCCCATCAGAGCAAGAAAACTGTGGCAGTCTGCTTCTTTAAACACTTACAGCCTTGGAAACCCTATGGGGGCAGTTCTACTCTGTCCCATAGCCAAAAACAACTCAGAGGCAATGGGTTTGGGTTTTGGTAAAGTGACATAAATGGTTAAACTCTAGGCTATTGACCGAGTCCAACCAGAGTTGCCGTAGAAGAAAGGCCTGGTGATCTTCTTTTTGAAAGCCCTATGCTGCAGCTCTACCAAACAGCAGCTGCCTTGGTTTGTTGGTACTATGTGCACAGCACTGTTTTGCAAAACATCCCAAGACGTTTCTTTCCTCCTTTTTGCCTCAACTACTTAATACAGCTCTTTTTCATCCTTTGATGTTGATGAATTTGCTGCATTCTTTGATGGAAACCATGGCATAGGAGCACATCGGGAAAGCGCACTGACCTGGACAAAGTGCTTTGTTTCTACCTAAAGCGCTCAATCACGACTAGCTCCCTATTCTCTCAAGGGTATTGGGGTATAAAAAGAAGCCCAAAGAGTCTGCTGATGAAGATCAGAGACCACAGCCTTCGGTATGGATTGCACCCCAATGTAAAGAAAACAAAAATCCTCACCACTGGACCAATAAACAACATTCTTATCAACAGAGAAAAGATTGAAGTTGTCAAGGA